ACACACATTCACACACACACACACACAGACACACACACACACACACACACACACACACACACACACACACACACACACACACACACACACACACACACACACACACACACACACACACACACACATCACACATATATATATATATATATATATATATATATATATATATATATATATATATATATATATATATATATATATATATATATATATATATATATATATATATATATATATATATATATATATATATATATATATATATATATATCATGTGTGTGTGTGTGTGTGTGTGTGTGTGTGTGTGTGTGAGTGTGTGTGTGTGTTTGCGTGTGTATGTGTCTGTTTTTGTGTTTTTGGAAACATTTGACAAATTAGTCCCGGAATAATTGAATAACTGTTTGCCATTGATAATACCATTTTTTGTTGTAAATTCTCCTGACATATTGGCTGGAACTACGAACAAAAAGCTGGACAATTCTATTCGCTTTTGTTATGTGGGAAATGACAACTACTGAATTTCCTGAATGATGATACTTTGACAAAGCCTTATATGCCTATCATGTTTGTTATTGTCATTAATTAAGACCATCCATTTGACACTGTGTAGCGGTTGCGGATTTACCAGCAGAAATGTGAATCTTTTGAAACAGCAATCCACCCTTACACATCTTCCCCGTATGCTTGGGACGAACCCTGTTATCCTCGTCGTCTTATTGTTGAGGTACGGTGGTTCATACCCAAATTCACTAACCAGTTTGGGGGATAAATCTCTCTGTGATATTTTTTCAGGTGCCAGGTGAACGTATCTTAGGATCATATGCTATTGATGATGCATCAGTTCATTCACTTGTGTACCTATCTGCAACTTCAGAGGTACTACTTCATTTTCTTTTTCCTCATAATAAGTATCACACCGCCTCAAAGAGATTTCAGCTTTCATCTTGGTATTTTTCTTTTCTCCCACGACAGTAGTCAATAGTTATACGTACGTTTATGTTCTTGAATAGTTACATTATAAAGAAGACAGTCTAATCATCTTGAAAGAATAGTTTGGAATATAAAAGTCCACTCGTATTCAATAATGCAATTAAAAATAAGCATGATTATGCTGTTCTGTTTAACTAATTAATAATTGTGAGTAGTCATATTGGTATCACAAAAACTCATGAAAATTGGCATATAAAATATAGGGAACAGATTTATTCTCCTTTTACCCAATGAGTATTTGAAGCTTTAAGCACACATCTCTTGCGAAATGTATGGCTTCGCTATACGGAGAATTTGGTGTCCTAGGTTTCTAGTAATTATTTTCAATTTTTTCTCTCTCCTGAAGGTTTTGAATTTAAAAACCTTTGTTTTGTTGAATTAGAGCCGACACCCTAACTGTTGGGTTAGCTTCCATGTTTGAAACTTTTTTATTGGGTATGGATTGATGCCTTCCACTGGGCATATTAGCCAATCAAAAAGTGTCTGTGGGTATATAAATAAGAGATTAAATTCTGAGCGGATCAGCCGATATTTAATATAAATCGGGCTCCACTAATTTTTTGACACGTGGCACTCTTAAGTTTTAACTCTTAATAAATCACGCTGATTATAATTAGGGTTAGAGGGCTTATGGGTTATGCTGGGGTTTTTTTTTTCTTTTTTTTTTCCAATTATTAGAATCCTAATTATAGTTTTATTTAAATTATCCACGTGTCAATCACCCTATGGCATCCGATTTTCCTATTAAAACAGGCCATCCGGTCTAAATTTGCACCCTGTAAATAATTCTAATATGAATAAGTTGTTTGAGTTAAGAAGAAAATGAATCAGATTGAAGATCAATTATATGTGATTCCACATCGACAGTGGGAGACAAGTTTGTGTCATTTATACGTAGGTGAAAAAACAAAATAATAGCTGCTTGAGTTAAGTATTCTGGAAAACAAATATGAATTTTGAAGTAGTTATTACTTATTAGCATGCTACGTTCTTGCTTTTTATCTCCAATCTCATGGGCCTAGGGCATATCAGATCCTGCAAAAGATTTATTTTGGTAGCTTAATGGAATGCGTAATGGGGAGTCCTGGGTTCTGGAAGAAGGAAATACAGATGTCCATGTAGTGAAACGGTATCCAAGATGCCAATATTGGCCGGTGGGTGTTAATTTGAAGTATTCCATAAATGGGTATAATGTGCTTCTGTAGCGACTTAAGATGAGTGCCAAGAAGTTACCGTTGGAGGGAATTTTCCACTTTTACCCCTTTTTAGTCCGTAACATGAAAATTCAGTGTCAAATGTGATTCCAACGTCCAATATGTGCTTCACAACCAATTTTATTCATGTTTTTTGCATATTTGTTTCGAGTACAGAGATCTTATTTTATTTCGTAAACTAACATCTGTGCCTTCTAAATTTTCTTTCCAGAAACCTGAAAGAAATTTGCTTATTTCTGTACATTCTGAAGGAGCAATTAAGGTGTGTCTGCTAAATAATGTGAAAAAAATACCATTTTTTGCTGAGACTTTAGTAATAACTTTATGTATTTGTTTAAACAGGTTCTCAGTATTATCGATTCAAGTTACCATGTTTTGAATGATCTGAAGAGCCTTCATGTCCCTCAGTTGAAAGATAAAGGAAAACAAACTATGAAGTATGAATCTTTTATTAATTACAAGGAAAGGTTTTCAGTTGAGATCCCATTTCTGGGAGTCTCTTTGATGAATTCTCGTCCTGAGGTATCCTGTCATGAAAATTATTACTCTTCAATTTCATTATGATTTCTGTTTTCACATGTGTACCGATTATTATTCCTAAATGAATGCGGCTGTTTTGTTTTGTAGGAGTTGCTCTTTGCATGTGCTAAGCACATGAAGATTAACTTTGTGCAGAGCTTGGATCAGCAACAGTTCTCCCTACAAATTGCATCTTTACAAATCGATAACCAATTACGTACAACACCATATCCTGTAATCCTATCCTTCAACCGTGGAAACAAGGGCATTGATAGTGCACTCATCAGTAGAAGTATGACTCAAATATCTTCTTCAAACATGTATGAACCAGTATTCTCCTTAGCTGTCGCCAAGTGGAGAAACAGTGATAGATCACTGGTTTCTTTTGAATCTATTATACTAAGGTCCGTAATATTTTTAAATAGTACATCCGGACTTCATTTGTCCATCTCAGAGTTGATGAATTCCCCCCTCCTATTGCAGAATAGCAGATTTTCATCTTGAGATTGAGCAAGAAATTGTGTTGAGGTTGTTTGAATTTTGCAAAACTACATCTTCAAGGTTACAGAGCAGAGGTTTTCAGCGTGTGGATTCCACATCGAATTTACTGTTTCCTGAGTCAGATTTTACTGATTTTACACTGCTTAATGACGATCAAAAAAGAAGCTTTTTGCTACCCCAAATGGTCCCAATTGGAGCTCCTTGGCAGCAAATTGAACTTGCCACAAGAAAGCAGAATAAAATATATGTTGAGTCGCTTGATATGGGGACAATCAAACTGACTTTGAGGTTAGCAGCTCCCTACGCCACCCTGCAGTTTTTATTGATCTCATAAATAAATTCCTTAATGCATAATGATATTTCACTTGCAGCTTTTCTAGCAGTCCATGGATCCTCAGAAATGGTGTTCTTACATCGGGAGAATCTCTTATTCATGTAAGTGCAGAACTTTGAAGCAAAGTGAAGAATAATCTTGGTACCGTGTCCGCGTGGATTACTGAACAATACTGCCCTATGTTTGAAATGACGATTCAGATATGCAAACAAATATTTTGAAACTTGTTATTTGCTAATCACGTCTATATTGAATTTCTTGTGTACTATTCATTTCCAATGACTTATTATGTCAATTGTTGTAGAGAGGTCTTATGGCTCTTGCGGATGTTGAGGGAGCCAAAATTAATTTCAAGCAGTTGCTTCTATCACACCAGATAGCCAGCTGGGAATCCATTCAAGAGATCCTTGTTAGCCATTACACTCGACAATTTCTACATGAAATGTACAAGGTAATTGTGTTGACTTTTTTCGCTGGTCCTTGTAGGTTTACATTTTACTTGCACGATGCTTTTTACTCTGACACTTTACCTAGTGAGAACTTGACTTCACATTACTCTGAAAGATAAACTTTTTTAAACTAACCCATCGTTTCTGATTTATAAAGAAACATTGAAAATTAATCTTTCTTGCAATAAGTGCACCACAAACTATCCTTGTAATCATTGTTCTTACCGTTGGTGAGATGAACAGCCAATCTAATGACATCAGAAATTGGTTAATTTTCTCCTTTGAAGACTGAGTTTGTTTTTTTAGAAATAAGACTCATAATCCTTAATTAGTCTCTGATTCCATCTCATAAATTAACAAAATATATTATGCACTATTTATATATAAAAACCTACGTAGTTACAAACAAAGAAAACTGTCCCATGATTTATGGCCTATCCTAATCAAATTGGTCCAGTTCTAGGAAATACAAATAAGTTCTAAAGGTTACCTAACCAATACACGTTTTCCGTGCTATGTACGTTCTAGGTGCCCCGTCTCATATGAATTTATGAAAAACTAAAATACGGATGAAGAAATGCCTAATGTATGTGATGTGATTGTGATCACAGCACATCAGTATGGTTATTAATGTGAAAATATCTATAGATATTATAGGAACGTAAAAACGGTGTAAATTGGCTCAATGGTACTACTCCAAAGAAGAAATGTATCGTCTATATAAATGAGATGTATCAACTCTAAAGCATGAAGCATAAACACACAAATAGGACATATAAAGTATGTTACCATATCAATAAATAGAGTAAAGAAATAAAGACACCAATATTGATGTTTTAGATTCACATAGTAGGTCGAAGTAAAGGACGGATCTCCATATTCTTCTTTCTTTTTTTAGATAAGATCTCCATATTCAGGATCATGTGATTAATTGCATGTGCAGTTTCAGTAACATTTTATTGCATGATTAGTTTTATATTCTTGACAAAGTACTACATGGAAAATCAGTTCACCTATGTGGTATCTATTTTGCCCTCTAGTCACATGAGTCACTTAAGTTTAGTTGACTACAGAGTGGGGGACACTTACTCTTAGAACAGAGCTTTGCTCTTGAGAGTTTCCTTCCGCAGATGTGCTTTAATGTCTCAGATAAATTCTTGTGTGCTGTTTTGATGGATGGGACGATGGCAAACAATTTCTAGTACAATATAGTTGTTCTCCGGTGCAATCAAGTTTATTTTCATTGAGAACATTACTGTGCAGGTTTTTGGCTCAGCCGGTCTTATAGGAAATCCTGTGGGTTTTGCAAGAAGTTTAGGTCTTGGAATCAAAGATTTTTTCTCCCTTCCCATGTGGAGCGTTTTCCAGGTATAATTTCCCTTTGTTTTTCCCGAGAAAATAGAAAAAGGAAACAGTGATAACTATTTCAAAATTTGCTTTTTCAGAGTCCAGCTGGATTAATGACAGGTATGGCCCAAGGTACAATGAGTCTTCTCAGCAATACAGTTTACGCAGTGAGTGATGCTACAAGTCAATTCAGCAAAGCTGCACATAAGGTACTTGGTTTTGTAGTTGGACTCACAAGAAATTTCATCCGACTCTTTAGCCCAATTTGAACTTAATCTTAACTTGCAGGGTATTGTAGCATTTACGTTTGACGACCAGACTGCGATAATGGTTGATAGGCAACAGAAAGGAATGTCTTCACATAGCAAAGGAGTAATAAATGAATTCCTCGAGGTGCTTTATATCTTTCTATCTTATTACTCTGTCAATTGATATTTACAGTTGTTTGCAATAGCTAAAATTACTTCTCCCCCTTAAATGATTTTAAAGGTTAAATATAGTTAAATAGCTAGACTGGGACATGTTAAAAAAATTCAAAGAAAGATGTCATCAAGCAACTTGATTATGGTGTACATGGAATCATCTTGGATGTATATATGGTATTAATTTCATAGTGACCCAAGTCATAGCAATTTAATTAATAAAAGCTTATATCTTGCCTTAGGGACTTACTGGTGTACTCCAATCACCAATCAAAGGTGCCGAAAAACATGGCCTACCAGGAGTTCTATCAGGTAATGTGCTATTGGGAAAGACGAGTTTCTTTACTTTAAATTAACGTGTTCAACTTTCACTTACTGACCTTTTAAGTTGCCATGTACCACAGGTATAGCTGTAGGTGTAACCGGACTTGTTGCAAAACCAGCAGCCAGTATACTTGAGGTCACTGGAAAAACAGCACAGAGTATCCGAAACCGAAGTAGGATCCACCAAATGGGGTATCGTTGTTTAAGGGTCCGTTTACCAAGGCCTTTGAGTGCGGAATCTCCCTTAAAGCCTTACTCTTGGGAGGAAGCAATTGGCACATTTGTACTCGCTGAAGCAGATATGAAGCTGAGGGAGGAGACATTAATCATGTGTAAACCACTTAAGCAATGCGGTCAATATGTTTTGATAACTCGAAGACTTATCTTAATAGTTGGCTGCTCCAGTTTAGTGGAATTGGGTAAACCGAATTTCGAGGGTGTCCCTTCTGATCCCAAGTGGGTGATAGAATCAGAAATAGGAATGGATGGTGTAATTCTTGCAGACAATGATGGAGAGGTGGTACACATTGTGGGGAGTGGCTCAGATACATCGTTCAGACAGAGTCTTCAAGGAAACGAAGCAAAGGGGAAACTGAGGCACAATTTTCAAGCTCCACTCCCTCTTCTGCAGACCAACTTAGAGTTCAACTCTTCAGAGGAAGCAGACGAGTTCTTGAGAGTATTGAGGTGTATGATCGAACTGGGAAAAGAGCAAGGCTGGGGTTCTCTATATATTTTGCACCAGAACAAAGTATCATCAACTAGGAGGACTTAACCAAACTGTGTCGCTATTGTATATGTTTGTCTGTTGTTTGCTTTGTGTTCTAACTGACCAGTGTTCAAATCATAGTGTGTTTTTTGGGGCAGTTTTGTAAATTAGGTTTCTTTATTATTTATCTTCTTGTGGTCCAAGTAGGGGGATGAAAAAGGAAAAAGAGAGAGCGCCATTTATTTAAATGGAGGTATTGCCAACATGTTTGAGTTTGATCTTTGTTACTTGCCATATAATAAATACATCCCATGCCATGGATTATTTCAAAGTATAGCATATATGTGTTGATTGATGCATGCTACTGGATTTTACAAATAACTAATTTGGAGTGCTCTTTGCATGAAACTATAGCTGTTCATTTTTTCAACATAAATTTCAATGCTTTTTAAAACAAACAACTTAGTCCTGGATTTCATCACTTCTTATTGACAACATATCTAAAGTAAGGCTACACTTCTATAAAAATTGTAATATTTTTTTATGAGGGTAACTACAGATAAGTTCCCAAACCCAAACTTAACGCGGATCAATCCGTACAGATGTTACATAGGTGTATCGGTCCTTAATGCAAAATTTCACATGCAGTTCAGTTCCTAGGGGCAGGTGAAAAGTCTAAAATACCCTTTACATTAATCTATAATTACATTCTTTTTCCTTTTCTCTCTCTTCTATAAAGAACATAACAGTACAATATGAATGGACAATATATATTTTAGGGGAAATATGCCTCACACCTCTCAAACCAAATTTAATTAGATATGAGTGATAAACTTAAATAAAATATTTTACTACATCCCTATTTTAAAATAAAAATTGATACACATTCTTTGATTTTTATTTAACCCAAAAATACCCTTACAATACTTAATAAAAGTCATGTGTCTTTTTTTCTTATTTATTTCTCTCTCTACCCCCTCTCTTTCTCACGCCGCTCGACATCGCAGCTCAACATGTTCTCTCTCTGGTTCGTTCTCTCTCTCTCTCTCTCTCTCTCTCTCTCTCTCTCTCTCTCTCTCTCTCTCTCTCTCTCTCTCTCTCTCTCTCTCTCTCTCTCTCTCTCTCTCTCTCTCTCTCTCGTCCCCCCCCCCCCCCCTCCTTTTTTTTTGTTTTCAATTATAGTGAAGTGATGAAGGCTATGATGGTGATTACTGTAGATGGCGGCGGCTATGATGACGACGGTTATGGTAGGCGACGACGGCTATGGCGACTCTCGGTATAGGGGTTGCATGTGGAGGCTCTGTGATGGAAGGCTCGTTGTTTGCTTGCAACCAACAGGGATGAATCGTGAAGGTGGGTCTGGGTGTGGAGAGGGGGAGTAGTGGCGGTGGTGGTGGCGGCATATTGATTTAGGGTTTGGTGGGGAAAATTTAAGATTTTTCGATTTAGATTTCTATGAGTGTCTATGGTGTCTGACGGCTAGGGTTGAAAGGAATTAATGTTTCAAGATGTCTATGGGTTACTACGGATTACTACAGGTTATACGGGTTTCTGTAGATGTCTACGAAAAAAAAATAAAAAAAAATTGTAATTTTCAATTTATCTAGAAAAAGAGAAAAAATAGATTTTATATAATGAAAAAAAATACGAAAAATGAAAAAAAAAAAAAAGAAATAAAAAAAAAAAGAAAAAATAAACCATAATTTTTAATTTTATGTAGAAAAGGGGAAAAATAGATTTTTATATAATGAAAAAATATGAAAAAAAACGTGTTCCACGAAAAATTTAAAAAAAAATGGTAGATGTAAACTTAAAAATGTTAAATAATACCATAGTTCATCATAGTATATTTATAATCTACTGTAATTTTGAATTTGTGAGTAGATGGGCATTTTTGGAATAAATTTAATAAAGGATGTGAAGCAAATTTTAATTAGACTTGTCATTTAGTTTTAATACGGTTTGTCACCAGAGACTTATATCTTAAGACCCCTATTTTAGGGGTAAATGCATTCACAGTACTATATGCATGAATAACCCTAATTTTACCAGTTTATACATTGTACTTACTTGTAGAACAAAACGCACTATATTTTGGGATGGATTGAGTTGTACTAATTTTCTTGACACTTTAATGATCAATTAGTATGGGCAATGCTTAATTTATGTTTTAGAAGAGTATTTTAAGTTTGATGAACATTGGTGTTACGTTTGGAGTCCAAAATTCCACAAATATTTTTGATTTCCTACATGATATTCACATATGGTACAAGACATGAATGTAGGACTAGTACTTTTCTCAAATGTTACCATAATTGATGTTGATGGACCCCCACGTTATTTCATTTCATATAATCTATACTATCTATAAAAGGAGGAATGCTAGGAAGGTTTCTTCTATTTTATGTAAGGACAAAATTATTCCTACATATATTTTAGAGTTTATAGAAATCAAAGGACAATGATGTAATTTAGTTAATATTTCATTCAAATATTAATTATACAAGTAACTTTTCATATTAAAAGTGTTTTTTAATATTTTATTTATATTATAACTTCTAAAATAATTTGAAGTTTGAAAACATATTTTATTTATATTAAATTACATTGAGAGAATTTTCTAATAATATATTATTTGACTAGAATTATTTAACTCAAATAACTTATTTATGATATGTTTTAATTTGCCAATATTCAATCATTTATAGTAATTTGAAGAGAATAAAGAAAAATAATAATTCACATAAAAATAAATAGATAAAATTGAAACAATAATTCACATCCTATTATATTAGATAAAATAAATAGTCTTAAAATTTGAGGTGCTAAATAGAGTACGGACTAACATACAAGGTTAAGTTAAATGGTATGCAGTCTTTGATATTACAGATTACTTTTTTAATATTTTTTTAGTATCTCACATAATTGTTAAGCTACTCTTAACTTTAATTAATTATTTTTTTTTATTAAAACAAACTTTAAGAATTTTTTTTTCCTATGAGTAAATAACATATGTTTTTTTGGGAGGAATAACGTATGTTTTCACATTTATAAAATTGTCACCAGATATTTTAATTAATATTTATTTTGGGTGGATTAGTGCAAAATTTAATATTATAATTTCTAATTAACATACACTATCACATGTAGCTATCAAAATACTTTCAATATTTAAATAATAAATTAGGGTAAATAGCATTAAACCACCTAAACTTTTTAAGTTTTTGCGGATCACCACCTGAACAATTTTTTTTTTGCACGAGTTCACCCGTACTTCATAAATTGTGCCACTTTGCCCATTTTTGCCCGTTTTCAGGTCAAAATGACCTGTTCTCAACCCATGTGCGTTGCACATGAGAAATCCAAGGCTATTGACGTCTTTTCCATTTTAAAAATGGAATAAATATTTTTTTTTTTGGAAATGGAATAAAATTAAAATAGAATAATTAAAAAAAAAAATCTTCATCTTGTTCCCAGTAGCGGAGCCCTGAATTTTGAGAAGCCATGGCCCAAAAACTTCGAACAAACCACCTACATAAGTACTTTCCCGCCTTTGCAAGGAAGACCCTGCTGCCGCACCAATCTCACCACCCACCGCCCACCGGTGCACACCTCCGCTGCGGCATGGGGCGGCCTCAATTGTGAGAAGATCATATAATCCTCTATTGGTTGGAAGAAGATCTAGTTGATTCGGAGAAAGAAATCGAGAGAAAATAGTGTTCGTAAAACCCAATTTCCGTAAATACGGATTTCTGGTGAATGCTTCGACATTTCGGATTTCTGAGATGGGTTTTGTCCGGAAAAGAGATTATGCGTCCTGATTATAAGGGACACCGCCAGGGCCGAGGCTGTTTTGTCTTGGGTGGCGGACATTGTAGCCTGGAACAGACATCATCAAATTACAATCAATAACAGAAATTATGAACTGCGTGAGTAACCAGATTTGCATACATAGAGACATTTGAAATATAACAAATATAACACCTAGTGATATAGGTTTGTAGTGATCCCGCAACAAATCGGTTAACAATTAGCATTTCAAAACAAATCTAGATTCAAGTTTCAACATTCAAGTTCTAAATAGCGAGACCCAGTCTACATCACACAAACCCCGACCTAAATCGAACATGAACACACCAAATTCGGCCTGAATTGTGCCTAAATCGCGAAAAAAAACAACGCTACCCAGTTGAAATCGCAAGCAATTCACATCAAATCGAGCTTGAATCACCCCAAAATTGCGATAGTCCCGTATGTATTGAACAAAATCGTGATTTGGTAAGTAATGTTCGAATAGTTGTGGGATTGTTCTTGAAGAAATTGAAAAACATGAAAGAAAGAGGGCCAACAAAAAATCACAATCGAGAGAAATAGTTTATTTATTCTATTATTTAACATTTATTCCATTTTTAAAATGGAAAAGACGTCAATAGCCTTGGATTTGTCATGTGCAACGCACATGGGTTGAGAACAGGCCATTTTGACCTGAAAACGGGCAAAAATGGGCAAAGTGGCACAATTTATTAAGTACGGGTGAACTCGTGCAAAAAAAAATTGTTCAGGTGGTGATCCGCAAAAACTTAAAAAATTTAGGTGGTTTAATGCTATTTACCCTAATTTATTATTCAAAATTAAGTAGATTTTTTAGCTTTCTAATTCGATTTGTGATACATGTAATGTTATTGATTAGATTAAAATAATTAATTTGTTCAATATTTTAATTTATTAATATCATTATATTAATAGTAACTTGAGGATAAAACATGCATTTATAAATGGTTAAATTCCTTAATCGGATACAATTGCCCCAAGGCAATCATTGAGAGTGTTTGGGCAAGGTCTGAAAATTACTGAAACGCCTACTTACCGGGTTTAAATGGTTTGCATCGATTTTTCACTCCTCTCTTCCATCAAATTTCCAAATTAAATCACTTTCTCTCGAAAAAATTCAGCAGCTTCCTTCGCGATTTTTGGTTGTTTTCTTCCACAACAAAGGTATGGGTGGAAATAGTTCACCACAATCATATATTATGTGTTAGAGTAGGTGACCGACAAGCCAACATGTGGTTGTGGTCCTTCGTATTTATTATGGTAATAAATGAACATTTATTCGTATTAATGATAAAACAACTTGGCATTCTATATCTTTGTCCCTTTGTCACAAGCATAGATATAGTCCTTACAGTTATTACAAGTACTAGTAATTGATCGTTAGGATCGTGAAATATTTACTTAAGTATTATAACTGTTAAACGTGTTCCTAGTCGAAGGGTTATGCCACCAATGAGGATATCGGCCTTTCCCATTAAGAGACTAGCACTTAATGTATGT